GGACAGGAAACATCTCAGCGGTCATCAAGAAGGCCCAACAGCGGCTGCACTTCCTGAGAGTCCTCAGGAAGTACAAGCTGAACTCCAACCTGCTGCTGACCTTCTACCGCTCGTCCATTGAGAGCCTGCTAACCTACTGCATCACGGCAGCTGCACCAAAGCAGATAGAGTGAGGCTTCAGAGTGTGGTCAAGACAGCACAAAAGATCATCGGCTGCCCTCTCCCCTCCCTGATGGACATTTATTCCTCCCGCTGCCTCAGCAGAGCAGCAAACATTATCAAGGACAGTTCCCACCCTGGCTTCAACATGTTCAGCCTGCTTCCCTCAGGGAAACGCTACAGGTGCATCAACACAAAAACCCACAGACTCAAAAACAGTTTCTTCCCCAAAGCGATAACCACCCTGAATTCACACATGCACAGATAACACAGCCCCCCACTTCCCACTTCCTCTATGGACCACCACTGTGCAATACCAATTCTATGTGCAATACTCAACTGTATATACATAACACTATTTATTACATATTACTTACGTCTTGTATATTGTACATTTTATATATATGTTTTTCCCTATGTTAATACTGTCCATATGTACATAGCGCTGCAGAACTGTACCCCCCCCCCCCCAGCATGTTTACACTGAGTAGGAGATGCTCTGTATCTCATTGTACAACTGTATAGTGACAATAAAGGCATTCTATTCTATTCTATTCTATTCTATTCTATTCTACTCTGCTGCTGTGTAACGGTGTTCTGACAAAACGTCCTATCGTAAGTAGTTTATGCACATTTCTGCTGTCACAGAGTAATTCCAGCACAAATGTAACTAGGTATGACGGTTTGCCACGTAACTTTGCCCATCAGAGTGAGTATGCTTGTAGCTCACATTCATAAAGCCAGGACGGTTTGACACTTCATTTTACCCGTTAAAGTATGCTTGTAGGTCACATTTACAAAGGTAGGATGGTTTGGCACTTAATTTTACTCGTCAGAGTATGTTTGTAGCTTATATTCACAAAGGTCGGTTCGCCACTGAATTTCGTGTTGTATTCGTAGAAACAAGGGGTAGGATGGTTTGTCAGGTAGAATGGATTCCCAGAACACCAGTACTCACGGGTGCCTTTGTGTGGGTTTCCCAGGAGGATTATCGGAAAGGAGGAAGCAGCGAACAGATTGTACACAGGGAACAGAGACACGGAGCACGGGCGCAGGGAGAAGACACGAAACGGGAGTCGGGAGCACACGGGGATTTATTGTTTGCCTTTTATTTTTTACTTAACTGTAAATAAAGACACCTTTGCATCGCACTAGTCCTGCATTTTGGGTTCTACTTTCCCATATCCCCACGGTCTGCAACCCCAGACTGTGACAATGTCCTTTGAGCTTTGTATGTAATTATGTCTTTTACAGTAATTTTAGAGATTTATGGTAACAGTGCAAACATAACATGTATGTGCTACATTAGCAGACAAATTGAAAGATGGCTAACAGTTATTTTATCTTTCAGATAAGATAACCGTCAGTATGGCAAACATACTGGACTACTAGATGCCATTTAGAGGATGAAGCAGGTGCAATAGTGCCACCTCTCTGTATAATTAATTTTTTATGGCTTGTTTGTTTTGAGCTTGAATTTCGCTTTCTTTGCTCCAGATGGCAGCCGCAGCACAATCAGCCCAACAGCACCAACCAGTATCAAAGCTGACTCACAGAAACCCTGACAATAAGAAATGACATCAGCTTAGTGCAGGAGCTTTTACCAACACACCAGAGAGGGGCACTCCAACAAAGAATACACTCTGTAAACAACTGCAACCTCTCCAGCGAACTAAAGTCTGGATTAAACTGATTTAATTATTATAATATATGAATTCCATCCATTCGCTTCCGCTTCTCGGGGTCGCTGGAGCCTATCCCAGCTGTCATAGGGCGAGAGGCAGGGTACACCCTGGACAGGTTGCCAGTCCATCGCAGGGCCAACACACAGGGACAGACAACCATTCACACTCACATTCACACCTAAATTATCCAATTAACCTATCCCCACAAGCTGCATGTCTTTGGACGGTGGGAGGAAGCCAGAGTACCCGGAGAGAACTCACGCAAACACGGGGAGAACATGCAAACTCCACACAGAAAGACCCCGGCCTGATGGTGGAATTGAACACAGGACCTTCTTGCTGTGCGTCAGCAGTGCTAACCACCGTGCCACCATGCTGCCTAATATATGAATTCGTATGACTAAAAGCTTAACTAAAGCATCAATTTCACTTAGTCCTCCATATTTTCTATTGTGTGTGTGTGTGTGTGTTTTTATCTGTATAGTTCATTCACCCATGAATGAATAATTGAAAGACTGTCTTAAAGTCACAACTTTTAAACTATTGATTTGTGATTCTGGTTACAAATTTCTTTGTATTGCTGCACACAACATTTCATATTTAATGACTCGAGTTCATGTAGAAGAAATGAAGTCATTGTGAGTTAGAAAGAACATTCCTGTCATGAGGTAGAAGCTGAAATCAGTTTTGGCAAATTCACTTTTACATGTCTTTTATTTTACCAGTTAAAAAGTCTCTCTGAGATTAAGTCTTTTTCCAACTGAGATCTGGCTAAGACAGCAACGGATATTGAGACAAATATAAGATAACAGTTCTATCAGGATACAGAGCTTCTGACATTTGTCAGAACACAAGTCAGTCACTTCATCTCTGTGAGCAATGAATAAAACTCTTTCACAACCATTTCACTTTTATCACAACATTACTGACTTTCTCCCTGTTGGAGTAAAAAGTGTTCAGACACTAAAAATTAAAATGTGAAGGATTTATTGAAACTTTACAGAACTGTTGAAATTAAGAAAAGCAAAAATGTGTATATGAATGTATACGCATCAGAAAACTGACAAAGAAAATATACATACAATCTGAGGACATAGTCCAGTAAAATCCAACGACAAACATTCAGTGGCCACTTTATTAGGTACACCTGTTCAACTGCTCAGTTATGCACACATGTCAGCAACTCAAAAGGTTAGGTTGGGGTTTAGGCACACGGATACGGTATTCAATTCAATTTTATTTATATAGTGCCAAATCACAACAAAAGTCGCCTCAAGGCGCTTCATATAATACAGTAAAGACAGAGCGTCAGAAGAAAGAAAGGTGACTCAACGTGGCATCGTTTTGATGCCAGACAGACTGGTTTGAGTATTTTACAAACTGTTGACCTTTGGGGGAAGTATCCAGCACAATTATCTCTGCCTCTTAATGTCAGAGGTCAGATGATAATGGGCAACCTACTTTAAGCTGATGATAGGAAGGCAAAAGTAATTCAGTCAAGCGCTCGTTACAAACAAGGTATGCAGAAGAGCTTCAATGGCTTCCACAGTCAACAGATCTCAGCAGAGCTGACAAATCTGCAGCAACCGTGTGATGTCTGGGGAATGTTTCCAGCATCTTGTTGAATCTAAGGCAACTCTGAAGGCAATAGGGGATTCAACCTTGTACTAGCATGACATGCCATGACACGCACCTGTGACATAAGACTGGTAGTACTGAACTCTGTTTGTTGCAACTAACCCTCATCTGAGAACGTATCTATATTTGCTATATTTCAGCTGAAGGACAGTTTCACTGGTGCCTCTGACAGAGCATTAAAGTGTATTGTTCTTACATATATGAAAAATGTTTGAGGTATTTTTATTGAAAACACCGTGTTTTTAAAAACAATGAGAACGGCTAACGTAGGTGGGGGACTGCTGTGCTGAGAACTGCATAAAGAGTGGTGAGAATGACTTTTCTGCTGTGAGGATTGCATCAAAGTGATTGAGAAAAACGGCACTTTAGATCCCAGAGAAGATACAATAACACAGAGTCAGAAAGATACTAACAAAACAGGAATTAAACTTGACACAAAGCCTGTTTACTAAAACCTGCTAAATTTTATTATTACAATATAAAAAAGAAAGAAACTGATTTTTTTACAATGCAACTGTAATGTTAGGTCTTAAAAATCCATCCATCCATCCATCCATCCATCGTCATCCGCTTTGTCCGGGGTCGGGTCGCGGGGGCAGCAGCCTAAGCAAAGAGGCCCAGACCTCCCTCTCCCCAGCCACCTCCTCCAGCTTGTCCGGGGGAATACCAAGGCGTTCCCAGGCCAGCCGAGAGATATAATCTCTCCAGCGTGTCCTGGGTCTGCCCCGGGGCCTCCTCCCGGTGGGACATGCCTGGAACACCTCACCCAGGAGGCGCCCAGGGGGCATCCTTGTCAGATGCCCGAACCACCTCAGCTGGCTCCTTTCGATGTGGAGCAGCAGCTGCTCTACTCTGAGCCCCTCCCGGATGGCCGAACTTCTCACCCTATCTCTAAGGGAGAGGCCAGCCACCCTTCGGAGGAAGCTCATTTCTGCCGCTTGTATCCGCGATCTCTTAAAAATAATTAAATAATTAGGTATTAAAAACAATGAGATGAAGTTAGACAATAAACTAAAAATATAATGTAAAGTATGACTTGAGATTTTTTTAAACAGTCACTTTTAATCTTTTTTCATTTCTTTATTGCTAGGTTTATTTATTGTCCACTGTATTCATCTTTTTTATGTGTTTTACTGACCTTTTAAAAACTGGTATTTCTTTCCGTTTAACGTGTATTTTCTGTGTGTTATTACTGTCCTTTAACTGGAAAGCACTTTAGTCAACTATGTTGTTTCTTTTAAGTGCTCTGTGTAAGTGCTTTCCTTCGTACTACTAACTACTGGAAAAAATGCAAAGGTGGTAAAGGCAATAAAAGCATCTTAGATTAGATTTAGATAATTAAAACTAGGCTAGTGTTAAACAACAATAGCACTTATTATTGTTGGCTAAGTTTGGAGAAAGGTTGTTACTGTTTAGCTCTTTTTCACTTGGTTGCCAAGGTGGCACGTCTGAAAAGCGTACCTGCGCCACACAGTAAACATACTTCTTTTTTTCTATTTGCCAAGAGACCGGGCTGAGTAAGAGAGGGGGAGAGAAAGAGGTGTTCATTGCAGCGCACACTCACTCACTTCTACTTCTCCCAGAAGAAGAGGGCTGCAGCTTCATCACCATGTCGCGGTTCTTGGTGAGTGATCGTCGGTTGATTCCTGCTGCCTCGTTATTTCTCCGCTCATTTGTTTCAGAAGAGCGGGGCTGCTGATGGTTGCCTGCCTGCACCATCCTCACAGCCCACGCCGCCCGCAGCCCTGCTTTCTTTATTATTATTAGCAAGCTTCTAACCGCAACAGCGACATCAGCACCATCACCACAGCTGAACTGCTTTTTTTGTGTGTGTTTTTATCTCTGATGATTTCTGTTCAGGAAGAGGCGATAGGGTGTGCTTCGAAAAAATCAGCGGAAGGCGCTACTTGAAATAAATGGTCGCGGGTAAATAACAGGATACATGGAGATAACACAAGTCTGCGCCTGTGAGAAACCTGTGCAAGGTAAGAAGTGGATAAATGCGGTCACACTTCACCGTTTGTGTTTTATTCTACGCACAGATAGAGAAAACTTCCATAAAGACAGGCCCCTTCTTTTGAAAACAAAGAGCCTGGATGTGCACTTCAGCCAGGGGTTACACCTCACCTGGAAACCCCAAGGAGACACAGTCCACTGGGGATTTGCCTTCTGCTGCTTGCACCTGCAGTTTAAAAGCGCCTTGATAAACAGTCACATGTAATGCCATTATGGTGCATTTATTGCTCTTTCCTACACCTCTGCCAGTGCAGGGTTTATTGTTTGTTAAGCCTGGGTCCTCCATCTGCCTTTCAGGGAAATCCTCGGGAGGTCCCAGGAGAAGATGGAGACATTCTGGAGAAGAAAACCTCTTGTTGGTAAGACTGATTTGTAGTTGTAATTGATTTCTTTATAACAACATTACAATACATTCCACAGTGAGGATGTCTTAAAAGTAGGACAAAAATGCAGTTAAACTGTGAGGTTTCAGGCAGGCGAGTTGCACATCATTTTTTTTTCCACATAAGTGTTTTGTTTTTTTTTACTTTTAAAAGCAGAAGGCGGAGCTTGTGCCTTCCTCACTTCGCAGATGTTCTCTATGGTGCAGTGCTGCTTTGGAAAGATGGGAAAGATGAAATCTGAGGAAAAAAAGAGTGCACTTTAATATAACTTGTCTCTTTCTCTGTGCTTGTGTGCGCCTGCGCTATCTGTGCTCTTCATGTGCTCTGTGTATGCAGATTGCATGTTTGCCATCTGCGGCATCCTTGAGCGCAACATTACACACATAACGCAAGGTGACCTTATGCTCCTTGCACTTTAGATGGGATTTCAATTCCTCAACAATAGGTGTAATTATCCTTTTAGGAAGAAAGATGTGGCATTGCTAGCGAGACAGCTCATCTTAATGCTTCCCGTATTACTGTTAGAGTCCTCAGAGTGACTGACTACCTGAAATATTTCCTGAATCATTTCACTGTAAGCTGTTCAGACTTGCATCTCTCTTTAAGTCCACTGAAATTCCCTGGGAAAAAAATTGAAATATTTCCCTAATTATATGCTTAAGCAGACCAAATGGTTTGAACAATAGTGGCCTCCCTTAATAATTAAGTATCATAGTAAGTGATAGCAGGATGATCCCAGCTGTCGTGGTAGATGCTCTATCCTTTTGCAGCTCTGTGCGGGTGCGTTATGCATAATTCAACAATGTTTTAACCTTGTTTGGAAACAGCAGATCTGTCAGCGCACATGCTCTTTCGGGAGCTGCTTTGTGTGAAAAGTTAAAATGCTCTGATAAATGATCTCAGCATTTGCGGGAAATACACTGGCTCTTGTTTGAGAGTCAACATTTTTCACATCGAGACTGATTAGAAAGGGTGACCAGACATATTAATGACCCTTAATGCATTGTGTTTATGTATGAGCCATGAGAAGAATGTCAAAGTTGGGAAATGAAGTCTTCAGCTGTTGGGTAAGACGGGCAGGCCAAGACAAGGTGTGTTTGAAGTAGACGCACGCAAAAAGGCATCATTTGAAACTTTATCAAGTTTAGAGGTTTGTAGTTTCCCTTGGCAAGTGCTCGATCCTGGGCGGAGACGCAAATCCCTTTGGGGTGGGTCAGGAAGGACATCAGACATTAAAATGCTGCCAAATCAAATATGCAGAGCTACCTGCTGCTGTGACCCCTTGTGAATAAGGGAGCAACTGAAAGTAGCTTTTACGAAGTCAGCCTTTTTTAATATGCCATGGTTAATCCCTTTATCCCTCTATAGATGTCACAAGTCTTGCTCATGAGAAGCATGGAACGCAGGATGAAAAGATGAGTGAAACTGCATGACAATTTCACTAAGAAGTGGTAGAGAAGGGTTTTTTGAGCTTCTGAGAAAAAAGGGTGTGCACTTTAATTTGATAGATTAGTTAAACATGTTGTATCATGTTGACTGATGAGCTTTTGAGGGGCTGGTAGGATTTTATTTCATTTAGTCAAAGTAAAGGCTTCCCTTTTCTCGTTTCCACCATCAGTGTGAAGCTAAGTGAACCGCTAGCGAGTTTTACATTAACTTAAAAGAGCCTTTCTAGTCTTCTCACTTTACAGTTTCCAAGTGTGTTGGAGTAGCTGAATTTTTGCAAAGGAGTTTTTGAACTAAACTTTGCACAAAAAGTAGGGAAATTTGTGTTTGGTCAATTATTTCTTTGTTGTTACAATTCTGCTTCTTGTCAATAAATCTTATATCATTGGGAAGCCTGTTTATTGCCAGATTTGTATTTGTGGGTTGAGCAGCAGAGTTGAATGTGTGGGTTGTGCCCACGAAAAACTTGCCACATCTTCTCTGCCTATGCCAAACAGCTTATTCTGCTATTGAGTCTTGTTTTGAGCTTCTGGTACAGGAGCATAGATCCTGCTACAGGGGTCAGTTGGTGTCTGCTGCAAGCATGCCATGATTGACTGATGTGCATAGCGCCCGTGCCACTGGACAATTTCAAGCCGGTGTTCCACAAAAACAAGTTGCACCATTATTTGGAGTGAGCCCTTCAAATTTATGGCCCAGTTCTATATAATAGGGAATGTGACAAGCTGGAAGTGGGCTTCCCAAGAACATAAGAAGACTGTTTCCTCACCCTGTCAGCACCCTGTTGGCAGTCTTCCACAGATTTGCAATCAAGGTTTTCAGGACTATATGGTTAAAGGTCTCTACCCGGACAATCTGGAAAAGACCTCACTACTAGAAAAACAAGGCTTGCCATCCTTGGAGGCATTCTCAATGCAGAGAGATATCAAGTTGAAATCGTGCAACTAGTGGCAATCTCATATCTCCACAGTCTGGGACTGAAGTCTGTCCTTCAAGATGATAATGGGTCTCCCACAGATTGGGGTTTAACAGAGACTACCTCCAGAATTTGTGAGTGGAGAGGATGAAATTACCTGTCTGCAGTCCTGACTTCAACTCCATTGTGGGATCAGCTTGGGTGTGCGCTTCATCCCAGAGTGACCAACACAACCACACTGGCTGACTTGTGAAAAATGTTGGTTGAAGAATAGACTTCCATCCTACAGTGTGAGGAGAAGGTGCCAGGCTGTTGTGGCTGTGTCCTTCCACATCATGCTACTGAGGCTGCTGAGAATCAATAGCAGAATAAGCTGTTTGGCATTGGCAAAGAAGAACTGGCAAGTTTTTAATGGGCACAACCCACATACTCAACTCTGCTGCTCAACCCAGCTTGTTCTTTACAAATGTGGCACTATTTAAAGGGGAATAAACAGCCTTTCCAATAATATAAAATCGATTTCCCAGAGCAAATTTTTTTTTTCAACAAAGAAGGTGTGTTTGAATCAACCAAACACAAATTTACCCACAATTTGGTGGGGGTGCTCCATTCAGCCTATAAAATTTCTTACAAGTACAAGATTTATTTGGAGCTAAAAATAAGGATGTCTGTTTTAATACATACAAAGATATGAATTAAAGATCTGTCTCCATCTTTATCCCTCAATGAAGCTCTTATTCAAAGTTTAGGAAATAAGACTTAGAACCTTATGTAGATATAGTAATCAAAGAAGTTGCTAACAGTTTAATGGAGAAATAATTAAAAAACATGTGCTAATCAAAGAATGACCTCTTCTTGTACCAGCGTGAGAGTGAGCTCTCCATTGTAAATATAGTCAAACTTTTTTTTAAAGGAGGTTTTATCAACCACAGTCAAGCTTACTAAAGCTTAACTAAAAGTGGGACATTGCAACATCACGGGGTTTGCTGGCTTGATCATGTAATACTTTGTGAAATACTGCAATGTAGGAAAAGGTTTCATCATCCTTATCTTCAATAATCACCACACCAGAGGAACATGTTGGTGCTTGAAACAGTCTTTTACTTTGTCTCTTCATAAATAAATCATCCTTTTATTTGCAGATAAGTGAACCGAGACCTCTGTGTCCCTTCTCTTACAATAAATAAAGAGCAAAAGAAAAAAAATCAATCTAAGACAAATTACTGTGTTCATCTTGAGAATAAAAAAAAAAAAAAGATAAAATACACAGTTATGAAACTTTACCCTAAGCTAACTAAGCTTTCTTTAGGATTTTGCTCTCATTTCAAGAGGTGATTTGGAAGGAAAATAAATGTTAGGGCAGTCTGAAAGGAAAAAAAAGTATTTTAGGATTTTAAACGGAAAGAAATATAGGCAAATGGTCAAAATCTCATATTGATGTTAAATTTGTTCTGCTATGTGTGAGAGAGGCAGACTTTAGAATAAGGAGCTCTTACTTTAAGTTCTCCTTTCCTCTGTGTTGTCTTCTCTGTAGAGAAAGAGCGCCGCGTGAAAGCCAACGCGTGGGACTACAATGACAGGTTCTCTTATGCCGTAAGTTACCTGCATTAAATTTGCTTTAAGTGTTGGCTGTGGGGTTTCATCGGCGCTGTTTCTAATGATGTGAATCTTCAGGATAATCGCATCAAAACCTCAAAGTACAATATCTTCACCTTCCTGCCCATCAACTTGTTTGAGCAGTTCCAGAGGGTGGCAAACGCTTACTTCTCAGTGCTCTTAATACTGCAGGTAGGAAAAAGTGCTACTGATTGTGTCATTAAACTATAATTTGATTGATGTAGGAAACAAAGAGGGCTAATGCAAACTTTGTTCACAGTTAATTCCAGAAATATCCTCCCTGTCCTGGTTCACAACCATCGTGCCTTTGGTTTTTGTGCTCGTGATCACGGCTGTTAAGGACGCCACAGATGACTATGTTAGTTTCATTGTTTATCTCTTACAATTTGTTTGAATGCTATTCTTTTTACGTCTCTTCTTCAAATTTGTAACCCCTTTTTTTAAAAATTTCAGTTCCGATACAAGAGCGACCAACAAGTCAACAACCGGCAGTCACAGGTTCTCATCAGAGGAAGGTACTCTATGACGTTGTCATTTACACACCCAGTTCTGAAAAAGTTGGGATGTGTATGTAAAATGTAAATAAACAGAAAGCAATAAAAACCGATCAAATGTTTCAGCTGAGAAAATATTTAAGAGGAAACTTTAAGAAAACAAAACAAGACGGTGTCGAATTTGATGACAGCAACAAGGATAAAAAGGTTATGACGGGCTGTGTTTACAACTGTGTAGCATCCACTCTTCTGTTAACAACAGTTCATAAATGTCTGGGAAGTGAGGAGTCCAGCTGATGGACTTTTGGGAGAGGAATATCCCATTCTTGTCAGCTTTGTTGTATTTTTCAATTCATAATGCGCCAAATATATGAAATTAGTGAAAGGTCTGGACTGCCGGCATGCCAGATCAGCAACCCAGACTCTTCTATTATGATGTCATGCTGTTGCAGCAGACCTTTATGTATCTTTCAGTCCTTCTGTTGCCTTTCCAGATGTGAAAGCTGCCAGTTCTATAGGCACTGATGCGCTGCCATCAGAGATGCATGCTTTTGAACTCAGTGATAACAAGCCGGATGGTCCCTCTGCTCTTTAGACCAAAGGATGTGGCGTCCGTGTTTTCCAAAAATAATTTCCATTTTTGATTCATTTGACCAAAGAATAGTTTTCCACTTTGCTTCAGTCCATTTTGAATGAGATTTGCCTCCAAGAGACAGAGGCGTGTCTGCTTCGTGTGATCGAGCTTTAACCTGCATTTGTGGGTGATACGGTGAACTGTGTTCATAGACAGTGATTTCTGGAAGTGTTTCTGAGCCCACACAGTGACCTCCATGAGAGAATCACACCTGTTTTAATGCAGTGGCATCTGAAGGCCTATAGATCTCAGACATACAGTATTGATCTGTGGCCTGGAGATTTCTCCAGATACTCTGAATCTTTTGATGATATTATGTGTGTAGATGATGTTAAAGTCTTCACAACTTTATGTGGAGGAACATTATTTTTAAGTTTTTTGTTATTTTTGTACTTTGGTCAACCTCCGCCTGTCTTTACTTCTGAGAAACTCTGCCTCTCTAAGATGTCTTTTCATGTTACTGACTTGCTGCCAAATCAAAATCTTCCTCCAGCTATTTCAGTTTAGCACCACTTACCTCTCTGGCCTTTGTTGATCACATCTTAAGTTTTTTAAAGACGTGTTGCTGACACTGAATTCCAAAGAAGCTAATATTTTTCATGAAATACAAAAATGTTTCAGTCAATCCTTTATTTACCATGGGCACCTTTGAGCACTTATTAAATAACTGTAACTCTGTTACTGTTTCTGCTGGAGACAAAAGTCAAACTGTTTCAGAATGAAGAGAAGACATGCTTTATGGGGGGATTTGGTGTATCGTGGTAATATGAGACATTAATAATGGACTGCTGTCTTAACATGGACAGGAAAAATCAGGTCTGCTTAGATTTTACCATGTGCACTTCCCATTGCATTCTGTGATTATTTACATTTTAAGCAGCGTCCCAACTCAACTCTGGAATTGGATTTCTAGATGCTTTCCTGCAGAGGCTACATTTACAGCTATTCCTAACCTTTTGTGTTTCCTGTTTTTCAAGTTTGCAGAATGAAAAATGGATGAACGTTCGAGTAGGGGATATCATCAAACTAGAGAACAATCAGTTTGTTGCTGTGAGTAAAGCATTGCTACGACACTGTCACACTACATGCTAGACTGTAATATCAGCCTTTTAGATTAACATATAGTAAAGAAAATAGGTTCTTTTGGGAGAAATGGGGCCAGTTAAGTGCTGTTGCAGGTTCAGTGATGCAGAAATTGATTTATTGCCTTTTTTTCCACTGCTGAGTATTTTGTATTGGATTCACACACAGGCAGACATCCTCCTTCTCTGTAGCAGTGAGCCTTACGGTCTGTGCTATGTTGAGACTGCAGAGCTAGATGGGTAAGTTCTGCGCAAGGTATGAAAAGTAAGATGGGAGCAATTGCACAAGGCATTCATATGAGCACAAAAAGTGCACGCGTATATTTAATTTGACGTTTAGCAAAAATAGCCAACTTTTCTTTGTCTTCCTTTTTCTTCCCTCCAGAGAGACCAATCTAAAAGTCCGTCAGGCTTTAACCGTTACCTCAGATTTAGGAGACATTTCTAAACTGATGGACTTTGATGGTGAGATGATGCCAAAGTTTTTATTTTCACATTTTCTCTCATTTTTGTCTACTTATATCTAATTATTTGCGACGGTTTGATCAGTCATGGCTGACGAATCCTTTTCTTTTTCTTCCTTTGTTCCTCAGGGGAAGTCATTTGTGAGCCTCCAAACAACAAGCTGGATAGGTTTACTGGAACATTGTACTGGAAAGGCAATAAATATCCTCTGGATAATGAAAAAATGCTTCTGCGGGGCTGTGTACTCAGAAACACTGAGTGGTGCTTTGGAATGGTCATATTTGCTGGTAATAGTTGGTTTTTAATGGTTTTATTCTCCACATCCATTAGCTGCGTCTATATTTTTCTTCTTTGCCTCGATGGAAAGGTCGCGGACAGTTTTATTAATATTCTTTCAACACTTACGGTTGTTTGTACATCTGCCCAACAGGCTCACAAACCAAACTGATGCAGAACTGTGGAAGGACGAAACTGAAAAGGACCAGTATCGACAAACTCATGAACACTCTGGTTTTGTGGGTAGGCTGATTTTTGTAACTCTGCTTTGCATTTTACGATGCTAGCATGGGCTGATGATTGTGGCTTAGTTGGCTATTTTATAGGCAGCCGTTCTAGTTGTAAATAAATTGCATAAATGACAAATTTCTCTTTAAAAGCTGGCAGTCGAGAGTTACATTCACTGGTTTTAAATGTCACATTTTGCGCCTTTTACCACAGATATGCTCATATAAGCATATAAAACATACCACTTTATTTGATGCATCTTTGGGAACAAAAATATGTACTCTTGTCTTTTTTTCAGATTTTCGCCTTCCTTATTTGTATGGGAGTTATTTTGGCAGTTGGACACACTATTTGGGAAACGTATGTCGGCACAAACTTCAGAGTGTTTTTGCCGTGGGACACGTTCCAGATTAGCGCTGTGTTCTCTGGATTCCTCACCTTCTGGTCCTACATCATCATCCTCAACACTGTTGTGCCCATCTCTCTGTATGTCAGGTAAGCACCTATGCAGTCGTCGTAAAAGTCATTTTCAAATTAAGCCCGTCACACTGACTAGGAAGTTGGTAAATAGTTGTATTGCTCAATAAACCTTCATCAGTGTGGAAGTCCTGCGACTTGGTCACAGTCACTTCATTAACTGGGACCGGAAGATGTACCACAGCCCGATGGGCACTGCAGCCCAAGCTCGCACCACCACCCTGAATGAGGAGCTGGGCCAAGTGGAGTTCATCTTCTCTGACAAGACAGGCACGCTCACCCAGAACATCATGGTCTTCAGCAAGTGCTCCATTAATGGACAGATGTATGGTATGGAGCTTTAGTACTACATTGGGTTAAAACACTGGGCTAATTAGCCTCTCAGTTAAATTGGGCTACTCTTCAACAAAAACTGCTGAACAGTTAAGCATGGGACCTAAATGTTTTTTGTTTTTTTTTAGTTTGTTCACCCTAAAATGTTAAAATTGTTTGGTCAAATTTACTGTAGCAGACTTCGGGGGTAATGCTGGGAGCCAGGTCCAACTACAGAGGCAATTAGTTCTTAATCTTTGACAAAATAATTAATGATAAAGCTCTCGATTGTTCGCCTTTCCCACCACATCTCCGACTTGTTCGGTGTTTATAACCCAGTTAGAGCTATCTCCCTTTAAGTGTTCCTAGAATCAGATCCAAGTGCACTGAGGTTGCTTTCGTTTACCGCGCTCCTGTTCTTTGGAACCAGCTACCTGCTGATCAGTGATCAATCACATCTGCGGCTACATTCAAAAACAGGCTCAAAGCCTTTTTTTTCCACACAGGCCTTCAGTCAATAGCTGAGTGCTTGTGCTTTAACCCCTTAACGCCTATCATATTTGAAACATGGGTTTTTGAGACTTCTACATCATTAGTGAGTGAGATCTTCCCTCCCCTCGAGGGGAGGGGAGGGGAGGGGAGGGGAGTGAGATCTTCCCTCCCCTCCCTTGGAAAGAAATAGATTGCATGATATGTTTTTCAGCAATGAATAACAACATTTTTAAAAACTTGAATTTTCTGGCAATTGTTTCATGGTTCAGGCTTTAAGGGGTTAGGGGGAATTGTAAACCTGCAGAGGTTTTTATGTTTTTCTCTTCTTTGTTAAGCACACTGTGTTCACTTATAATCAAATGGGCTATATAAATAAAACTGTCATTGTTACTTTTATGTTTTTAGGTGATGTGTATGATGAATTTGACCAGAAGGTGGAAATTACTGAGGTGAGCAGATTGAAAAAAGCAGAAATTCTTTCTCTTTCTAGTGAAACAGATGTGACACAATCATTGCGCTGGTGCTTTAATGTCTCAGAAAACAGCCTGCGTGGATTTTTCCTTCAACCCTCTCTGCGACAGAAGGTTCAAGTTTTACGACAGCAGCTTGGTCGAAGCCATCAAAATGGAGGATCCTGCAGTGCAGGAGTTTTTCAGGCTGCTGGCTTTGTGTCACACTGTCATGCCAGAGGAGAAGAGTGAAGGTAAACATACATGATCCAGAAACTGTAGCTGTAATAATTCAAATAACTCTGATTCACTGATGTGTTTATGTTCAAATGAAGGAAATTTGGTGTACCAGGCACAGTCACCTGATGAGGGAGCGCTGGTCACTGCGGCGCGAAACTTTGGGTTTGTCTTCCGGGCGCGAACCCCAGAAACCGTCACGCTGTGTGAGATGGGACGAACCGTCACCTACCAGCTTCTGGCCATACTGGACTTCAACAACGTGCGCAAGAGAATGAGTGTCATTGGTTAGGTCTTCACTTATAAAAGCAACACACAAGTAGTCATCATGAAACTCTGTGGACAATAATTACGAAATAGCAGCACGAGGCAACATGTCTGATTATTTTGTATCTACTGACAATTTAGTTGACAGCCAAATAATCCATGTTTTATTTTTCCTCTTGCTGTGCTTTGTCTTGTTTGATAGTGAGAAGCCCAGAAGGCCAGATTAAACTCTACTCCAAAGGCGCTGACACGATTATTTTCGAACGTCTGGATCCATCCTGTGAAAACCTCATGTACACTACCTCAGAACACCTCAGTGTAGGTGTTATCGCAGTGGATAACATAATGTCTCCTTTGTAAATAATTGCGCTGTGGATTGCAGATTTAATGATTTGTTCTCTTAGTCAGATGTTTATTTTTCCATCGTTTTTCATGCAGGAATTTGCTGGGGAAGGGCTTCGAACATTAGCTCTGTCCTACAAAGACCTCGATGAAGATTATTTTAAAGTTTGGATGAAGAGGCTTCTCTTTGCCAGCACTGTAATAGAGAATCGCGAAGATCAGCTTGCTGTCCTTTACGACGAGATCGAACTGGGCATGAAGGTAAAATTGACATGCTTTTGTTTACACTCCTAAAGCAATCGATCGCATTTAGTCCTGCTGACTCACTGCTGACTTTGTTGAAGCTTCTAGGAGCCACGGCGATTGAAGACAAACTTCAGGAGGGAGTTCCAGAGACCATCGCCTGCCTAAATCTAGCTGACATTAAAATCTGGGTCCTTACAGGAGATAAACTAGGTACCTGTGAATGATGACTTTAATATTGGCTGGATTGTCTGTGGAAAGATACACCACTGTAAACTGTTTAATTTCATTAGAGACAGCAATGAACATTGGCTACTCCTGCAACATGCTGCGAGATGACATGAATGAGGTGTTTGTTATCTCCGGCCACACCCTGCAGGATGTGCAGCAGCAGCTCAGGTGACACATTTTTTGCATTTAATTCACATTCAGGGTGGTATTCTCTGAATATTAAATGTCCCATTTATAGAAAGTCTGTGGATTTAAAATGCTAAAAAACCTTCTTGAAGAGAATTCTGGTGTGATTCACTTTTACTGCCTTGCATCTTTCCTCAGGAGCGCCAAAGAGCACATCCTCGGCCTGAGTCGCGTGAGCAGTGCAGGACATGTTGAGAAGACGGATGCGTTTGCAGACGATTCTGTGTTTGAAGAAGCTATAATTGCAGAGTATGCCTTAGTTATCAATGGACACAGTCTGGTAAGATAACAATGAAAAGTGGTTTCACGGAGACTGCCTTTAATTAAATGCTCATTTTTACTTCTGCACTTGTTTTTGTTTTGTTACTGATGCCCGTTGGTTTCACACTGTTTGCTAAATGGCTCCGATGTTCTTTGATGAGTCTGCTGCGTCTGTGCCTGCTGCCAACTGAACAAAGTCTACAATAAGCTCTGCCCTCGGCTCTATTACAGGATTTTATTAACATCATTTTGCACGCGAGCTGCTCTCTTGCTGTGCCCAGGGCAGAGTGCGTGATGCACACAGGGATGTTGCTTAGTGTCCCCTCCGCAGGGGGTTGATGTTACACCGCGGTAATGATAGATTTAATAGGTGTGGTGTGGGTACTCTGCCCTTCAGGCTCACGCTCTGGAGCCCCAGCTGGAGCACATCCTGTTGGATTTGGCCTGTCTATGTAAAACGGTGATCTGCTGCCGCGTCACGCCGATGCAGAAAGCTCAGGTGGTGGAGCTGGTGAAGAGGCACAAGAGAGCTGTCACCTTGGCCATAGGAGACGGAGCCAATGATGTCAGCATGATCAAGAGTAAGTTTCAGATCATCCACGTGTGCCGTGCATGTAGTATGTATTACTATTACAAAGTGAAGTATAACATTTACAAGTAAACACTTGAAAAGAAATATCAGGAATTCTCAAGAAAATATCACAAACTGATGTGGATGCACACTCTTCTGCATCCAAGGACTCCGTTCACGTGTGTGTAGAGGGAATTTTCAGCCTTGCCAGAGGTGACAAATTAAAGGAAAAACCTGAGGGGAGCTGGAAATTCTGTTATGCTTCGAAGGGAAATTTTGCTGGCATGGTTAAAGATCACAGGGAGCACTCTCTTGCAGGATGAGAATGCCCACATCCACAGGGCACAAGGATCAATGAAAGATTTTTATAAACTTTGTGAATCATATTATATGAATTAAGCAGTCAAACTGCTGAGTACTTACTCAGTTTGTTCATATTTTCTGCTTAGCAGATGTTTTTGGGGTATACGATACAATAGTGAAATTACCTCCCTTACCCCAACACCTTACAACCAGCCACACACTGCGTAAGAGGCTGGTTGTAAAAACATTTCTTCATTTATAAAAAAAAACTCAGTCCAGACTGTTATTTAACGATGTTTGTGAATATATTTCCAGAATCTTGTCAGCTGTTCGTAATGATGAATATTTCAGTTATGAAGGGCATTGCTTCACACACTGTGTTTCTTACTCAGCTGCTCACATCGGTGTTGGGATCAGCGGACAGGAGGGGATGCAGGCTGTTCTGGCCTCAGATTACTCCTTTGCCCAGTTCCGGTACCTGCAGAGGCTCTTGTTGGTTCACGGACGCTGGTCTTACTTCCGCATGTGTAATTTTCTGGGATATTTCTTCTACAAGAACTTCGCCTTCACCCTGGTGCACTTCTGGTACGGTTTCTTCTGCGGCTTCTCAGCTCAGGTGAGAAAACTGTAATGAAGCTTTCAAGCATATTTGAAGCTTTTTTTATGTTTGTGTTGAATCAATTATGCATGCCAACTGTCAGCTCTGGTTTTGTGGTGAGGTCACGGAGGCTGACCTCAGGACCACTGGAGTAAATGTGTCTCCTTCTGACTCTGTAGAAGCCACAAGGCCTGTCAGGAGTGTCTTTTATCTAATTTAGGAACAGACCTAGTCCATTTTGTTCCTAATAGACTAAAGGTGAAGGAGATGTGTTCACTTTGTCTGGAAGGAAGAGTAGTGAGCAGAAGAAATAATCTAAGTGTTCCCTGCTGGAGGACAGTCTTCACAACCGGGGACAATACAGTCTGTCAAACCTTCTCCTGGTACACCAGCACAGACAGGCTTACCTGTGTAGAATTTTCAAAAGTAGAAGAGGCAGAGCCTTCAGCTATCAGGCACAACTATGCACTTTGTCAGGCAGACACCCTCTCTGCTTTTAAGGTTTCTTTTAAAACTTTTACATAGCTCTTAAAATTAGGGATGTTTCAGGTGATCCTGTAGTCATGAATGTATAGGCTCAGACTGCTACTGTACTTGATTCAGACTGCCTTTGTTTAGAATAAAAAGTGAATGTTATGTACTTTTATACTTATTGTACCATAGACTCTAAATAAGGTGAAACCAGTGAGCTATTCCATGTCACTGACTTTCATCCATGTTCTTCCAGCTTGTGTTCAGTCTTGTTTTCCTTGATGCATTTGTCCTCCTCTCTGCTCTGATCTTTCCTTTGTTCTCTCCGATATTGAGCTGAAAGAAATTTTCATGCACGAGACCTCTCGCTCTTCTGAATGTTTGTGCTGTATGGTTGGAAAAAACCCTGCTCTAACAAAATGTCCACTTTCCATAGACTGTGTATGACCAGTGGTTCATCACCCTCTTCAACATTGTCTATACATCGCTGCCAGTACTAGCGATGGGACTTTTTGATCAGGTGATAATAGCTCTTGTACAAAGTTAAAGCATACTTAAGTTTTATTTCAATGTGGCTATGCATATTTTAAAAATTTGCACAAAAATCGAACTTTTTCTTATTTCAGTAATCTCTCTCTAATGGTAAGCTCCAGAGCCGTTTCATAGTTTAATTTTGTTTCTTCTTTTCAAGATACTGTCAAGTCATTCAGGTGAATATTTTATTACTGTTGACCTCTTTCACTGTGTCATGATTGATAAACCCATCAGACGTACCTAAAAGTCTAACCCTACAGTAGGTTGTAGCTTAAATTTAACCCATGCGATTAGCGTTCCTAATCCCAATTTACAGTGGCTTGCAAAAGTATTCGGCCCCCTTGAACTTTTCCACATTTTATCACATTACAGCCACAAACATGAATCAATATATTGGAATTCCACCTGAAAGACCAACACAAAGTGGTGTACACGTGAGAAGTGGAACAAAAAATCATACATGATTCCAAACATTTTTTACAAATAAATAACTGCAGAGTGGGGTGTGCGTAATTATTCAGCCCCCTTTGGTCTGAGTGCAGTCAGTTACCCATAGACATTGCCTGATGAGTGCTAATGACTAAACAGAGTGCACCTGTGTGTAATCTAATGTCAGTACAAATACAGCTGCTCTGTGACGGCCTCAGAGGTTGTCTAAGAGAATATTGGGAGCAACAACACCATGAAGTCCAAAGAACACACCAGACAGGTCAGGGATAAAGTTATTGAGAAATTTAAAGCAGGCTTGGGCTACAAAAAGATTTCCCAAGCCTTGAACATCCCACGGAGCGCTGTTCAAGCGATCATTCAGAAATGGAAGGAGTATGGCACAACTGTAAACCTACCAAGACAAGGCCGTCCACCTAAACTCACAGGCCGAACAAGAAGAGCGCTGATCAGAAATGCAGCCAAGAGGCCCATGGTGACTCTGGACGAGCTGCAGAGATCTACAGCTCAGGTGGGGGAATCTGTCCATAGGACAACTATTAGTCGTGCACTGCACAAAGTTGGCCTTTATGGAAGAGTGGCAAGAAGAAAGCCATTGTTAACAGAAAACCATAAGAAGTCCCGTTTGCAGTTTGCCACAAGCCATGTGGGGGACACAGCGAACATGTGGAAGAAGGTGCTCTGGTCAGATGAAACCAAAATGCAAAACGCTATGTGTGGCGGAAAACTAACACTGCACATCACTCTGAACGCCATCCCCACTGTCAAATATGGTGGTGGCAGCATCATGCTCTGGGGGTGCTTATCTTCAGCAGGGACAGGGAAGCTGGTCAGAGTTGATGGGAAGATGGATGAAGCCAAATACAGGGTAATCTTGGAAGAAAACCTCTTTGAGTCTGCAAAAGACTTGAGACTGGGGCGGAGGTTCACCTTCAAGCAGGACGACGACCCTAAATAAAAAGCCAGGGCAACAATGGAATGGTTTAAAACAAAACATATCCATGTGTTAGAATGGCCCAGTCAAAGTCCAGATCTAAATCCAATCGAGAATCTGTGGCAAGATCTGAAAACTGCTGTTCACAAACGCTGTCTATCTAATCTGACTGAGCTGGAGCTGTTTTGCAAAGAAGAATGGGCAAAGATTTCAGTCTGTAGATGTGCAAAGCTGGTAGAGACATACCCTAAAAGACTGGCAGCTGTTATTGCAGCAAAAGGTGGTTCTACAAAGTATTACTCAGGGGGCTGAATAATTACGCACACCCCACTTTTCAGTTATTTATTTGTAAAAAATGTTTGGAATCATGTGTGATTTTCGTTCCACTTCTCACGTGTACACTGCTTTGTATTGGTCATTCACGTGGAATTCCAATAAATTGATTCATGTTTGTGGCTGTAATGTGACAAAATGTGGAATACTCTTGCAAGCCACTGTATACTTTACACTCATCCGCTTTAACTGACCATTTGTCATAAAACTGCTGCAGAACATTTTCCCCATTATCCTCCCATCATTTATTTCTTATTAAAATAAACAAAAGAGTCTATAATATCATACTCATGCTTTGTTTGTTTTCTAAAGGACGTCAATGACCAGAACAGCCTTCGCTACCCAAGTCTGTACAAACCCGGCCAGCAAAACCTTCTCTTCAACAAGCGTCAGTTTTTCCTGTGCACACTGCAGGGGGTTGCCACGTCATTCCTGCTTTTCTTCATTCCCTACGGGGCTTTCCCTCTCATGGTGAAAGAAGACGGCTCCTCCTTTTCAGACCAACAGGCGTTCGCCGTCACCATAGCAACGTCCTTGGTCATTGTTGTAAGTGTTCAGGTGAGACTATAAATATCACAAAATACTGCCAAAACAGGACTGCTAAATGAAAAGAGGGTCTTATTTTTATTATTATGGTTTGATGTACGTCTGCTCCAAGATCGGACTCGACACGCACTACTGGACTGCCGTCAATCACCTCTTCATATGGGGGAGCCTGATGGTGTACTTTGCCATATTATTTGCAATGCAGAGCGACGGCTTATTTGGCATTTTTCCGAGCAGCTTCCCATTTATCGGTGAGTCTGGTTCACTGTGGCCCGCGCAAGAAAATTACGTTGATACGAGAAAATTGCATTTCCTTTTATTCCTCCTCAGGCACGGCTCGTAACTGTCTGTCAGAGAAGAGTGTGTGGTTGGTTGTTCTGCTCACCACTGTGGTGTGTGTTATGCCTGGCTTAGTCGTCAAGTTCCTCAGAGTGGATCTTTTCCCGACGTTGACAGACAAGGTACAGCAACTGCAAGTTACTCAAAATACTTTATTGAGACATTGTAGATAGTTTACAAAAAAAAGGTTAACGCAAGAGAAGTTTGTCAGAAAAAGACCCCAGATTTGATCAAATTTGCCACCATGATTCTGGATGGAGCAGTGGATCTTTTTAAGACTAAGACACAACATGAGATCAGCAAGCCACTGAACATGGGTGGGCGGGGCAGCAGCCTTCCACCTTACCAAAATGGCACGTCTAACCGAGAGGCAACCAGAGGACAGCAAATGATGTTTTGCCCCGATAACATACTTATCATCCTCCCCCACTGTAGCAAAGAGAGCAAATAGGGGGGTTAAGAGCCCGTTTCAGGTCAGTAGCCTTGTTCAGAGTACAAAAAACTCCTCCCGAAAATGTGCGAAGGCAGGGCAGGTCCAAAACATGTGGGTGTGATTGGCATCATCAGACCCACACCTATTACAGCGAGGGTCTAAGCCAGGATGAATCTTAGATAATTTGGATTTAGATAAATGGGCCCTATGAACTACTTTAAACTTTAATAGGGAGTGGTGAACGCAGAGTGGTGTGGAATTTACCAAATGTCATCTGACATAGATATACCCAACTCTTCTCCCCATGTGGATTTAAGGCCTTCAGAGGGAGCTGAAGTTACAGCAACTGCAAGTTTGAGCAAGACAATGAACACTTGGTGGAAGTAACTATGTCAGTATAGTAAAGTATGAAGCTTCATACTTCAACTAAATTTAATAGGCAAATAGTACTTCACTATATTTATCTGACAGCAGTAGTTAATAGTAACCAAAACAAGCCTACTGACAATTATCCAGTTGTTCATAAAAAGTAATAACTAAGGGAAATTCCAAATAATAAATAGAAATCAGTGAAGCATATCCTCCCTATATCCTCTCTAGACTCCTTAAATTCATCTGTAAACCAGCCTCTACGACTAAAACAAGTAGACTTAAGAATCAAACCAACTGCAGCAGTAAAATGCTGTTTACAGTATTGGTAACCTTATACTTATCGTATGAGTTTCTGCAGAATTAGCACTTTTACATACAATATATTGTCAAAAATATTTACTCACCCAACCAAATCATTGAATTCAAGAGTGCAATCACTTCCACGGCCACAGGTGTATAAAATCAAGCGCCTAGGCATGCAGACTGCTTCTACAAATATTTGGGAAAGAATGGGTCGCTCTCAGGAGCTCAGTGAAGTCCAACATGGTACTGTGATAGGTCCAATCATTAAATTTTGCCGCTATTAAACATTACACAGTACCTTCATCTGTTAGTTCTAACAACGTTAATGTTATAATGTTATACATGTTATATAATTTTATAACAAAGTGGAAGTGATGGAAACAGCAACTCAGCCACAAAGAGCTAGGCCACGTAAAACAGAGCAGGGTCAGCGGATGCAGAGGCACATACTGCGCAGATGTCACCAACTTTCTGCAGAATCAATCGCTACAGACCTCCAAGCTTCATGTTGCCTTCAGATTTGCTTAAGGACAGTTTTTAGACCCTTGTGAAATGCAGTGGTGTAACACACACTGGGGTGATGCTTGATGCTGTTGCCAGGAGAACAGCACTTATCTGAGGGTATAAATTTAAGTATAAAGTTTGGTGTTGGGTTATCTGGTGTTGGGCTCAGCCCTTTAGTTCCAGTTAAAGGAACTCTTAATGCTTCAGCACACAAAGACATTTTGGGCAATTTCACGCTCCCAACTTTGTGGGAACCGTTTGGAGACGGCCCCTTCCTGTTACAACATGACTGCATGCCAGTGCACAAAGCAGTTTTATAAAGACATAGATGATCCAGTTTGGTGTGGAATAACTTGACTGGCCTGCACCTCCACCTGACATAACATGTTTGGGATTAATTAGAGTGGAGACTGTGAGCCAAGCTTTCTTCTCAAACATCAATGTCTGACCTTACAAATGTGCATCTGGAAGAATGGCCAAAGATTCCCATAAACATCGCTAAACCTTGTGGACAGTCTTCCCAGATAGTTCAAGCTGTTATAGCTGAGAAGGGTGAAGTGACATCTTATTAATCCCTCCTTTTGGCAATATAGTGTATACTTTGGTAATAAATATTTTGTACGTTCTAAATTAGATTTAGGTCTTTGCTTTATACATTGAGGACTTTGTATATTTAATACACGTGTTGTGTATTTACACACTTTTCCATGATGTATTTCCGCAGGTTCGTCGTCTCCAACAGTCCAGGAAGAAACAAGGACCTCAGGAACAGAACCTGAGGCGAGTACGCAGGACAAGCTCCCGCCGCTCTGCCTACGCCTTCTCCCACCAACAAGGCTTCGGCGAGCTGATTACCTCAGGCAAAAACATGAGGAGGAGCACAGTCTCTTCACTTTGCTCCCCTGAAAGAACAGCACAAAGCCACAGCTCCAGCTGGATAGAAAGCATGTTAAAGAGGAAGAATGAAGTTTCCTGTGCCTCACCTAAAAGTGAAGGTGGAGCACCAGAAAGCAGCAACAGAGCAATACAGACTTGAAGCAAAAAAAGCACGCAGACTGAACTCGACGTTTAAGACTCTGCATAGAGTAAAGGGTACCGTATGCATGGATCCTGCAGACCAAGCACAATTTTGGGTGAATCTTTGCTCAAATCAGCTACACAAATGTACCTCAGTTATTTTTGTTTTTTAAAGTGTGAGTTGTGCGGACACTGAATGTTATAAATGCCAGCCAAAACACAATTAAACGAAGGAACCTCTCCCAAACGAACAAAGAAACTGGCAAACTCTCACTCTGACACTCATGACAATATTTGCATGAATTGCGAAAGTTAAAGAAACATTTATAGTTGCTCGGAAATAATCCAGTTTGACCTCAGTTTTGTACCATTATAATGGCATGTCCTCTTCTGATTAATAAAGACCTTTCAGTACTTTTAGCTGTTACCAAACAAACCTTTGTGCAATAAAAACAAACCCAGTTCCCCAAAAAGTCAGAACGATGTATAAAATGTAAACAACGGCAGAATGGCAATCACTTGCAAATCTCACACGCCCATAGTGTATTCACAATACACCACAGAAAACTTATCAGATGTTTAAACTCAGGAAACATTTGAAGAAAAACATTTGATTTTCAATTTGATGCATTCAACACATCTCAAAAAAGCTGGGACATGGCCATCTTTATCACAATGTAGCATCTGTCCTTAAACATCTGGGAACTGACCAGCTGCTGAACTTTTGGGATATTGTCCCACTCTAGTTTAATATATCCCAGAGGAGATGGCAGCGTTTCTAGATTGTGTTCACATTTATCGATGGCACAGTGAACTGTGTTCTCACACAATGATTTCTGAAACTGTGCAGTGATTTCTGTGGCAGAATTTTTGGCCTCACCCCCTGCGCACAGATTTCTCCAGATTCTCTGAATCTTTTGATGATATAATGTACTGTAGATGATGAGACATTCAAAGTCTTTGCGATATTACATCAAGGAACATTATCCTGAAAATTTTCCACAATTTGTATACAGGTTTTTTTCATATCCAATCATCTTACTCAACCTAATTAGCCACACTTTTGTTGACCCAACTTTTCTGAAATATGTTGCTGTCATCAAATTGAAATTGAAACAATGTTTTTCATCAAATGTCTCCGTTTAATTATTTGACATGCTTTCTAGGTTTTATCGTGTGGGTTTGTGAGATTCGCAGATCATCGCATTCTGTTTTTATTTACATCTTACACAATGCCCCAACTCTTTTAGGGCTGGGCTTGTAAATTACAAAAGGGAAGATTGCCCTGGCCACAAGTACAAAAAGCATCATCTTTAAAAACGATGCACTGAAACACACTTTCGTCTTAACATACATCCAATACTTAAAAAATAAGTATTGTAAATGCTGAACTAATGCTGCTGAATAGGATGGTAAGCACAATAAATTACAGATTTTAAACTTTTAATATATTTTACAGTTTGTGGCATATAGCATGCCACAATGACACTGCTCTGAGATCCATTGCCCTGTGCTGTGCCTTTAATAGTTTCTGTTAAAGACGGTTCTTTTCTATTTAATATTTCATCTCTGATTTGGCCTGAGTATATTTAAGGACAAAGTAAAACTGAAATGCATGGCTTGAGTAAGACATATGGAAATAAGGGAGGTTTGATCATACGTCAAAGAAACATCGAATAAGTGGAGAAGTTTTAAATGTAAAAAATTACTTAAACCATCGGTTTTTTGAAGTAGTTCATAAAAGAGATGCAAACACAGGCCAGGTAAAATATGATATAATAAAGGCATTTGAGCATTTTGCCATTGATGGATTCATAAGGAAAGAATGAGATATACCCCTAGCTGAAAACCCTCACATAGTGTTCTTCTTCTTTCGACTGCTTTCATTAGGGGTCACCACAGATTATCTGCCTCCATCTCAGCCTATCCTTAATATCTTCCTCTGTCACACCAACCCCCCCTGCATGTCCTCCTCCACCACATCCATGAACCTGCTTCCTCGTTTCCTCCTGCCTGGCAGCTTCATATTATAAAATAACCACTCTCTCCTCCACATCTCCAAACCATCTCTTGCCTCGCTCACAAACTTATTTGGATTTGCATTTTAACCATTTACTTGATTCATACTTAATTTTTTATTATCATTTTACACGAATAACATGTAAAAGGGGCCACTTTTATGTCCTACGAACCCCCCCCCCCCATTTCTTTTGCATATGATATATGATGCATAGACCTCTAAGCCTCCAACAATCACTGCTCTTTTGTGAAGTAAAAAATGTTACTGTGCAGAAGTTAACATCCAGCATTTGAGCCTTTTGAATGTCTTTAATACACTTACAACCCCAACAGTCTGCGTTTCCATTGATGCACATGGAGAGAGGGTTTTGTTTGCCTTTTAATGTTAGTGTCTGAAAATTTAATATAGATGAATTTTATACAGCACAAGTTTGTTTTGGTTGTTGTTGTTGTTCTCACATTTGCTTTCTTTTTGTTTATGAGAAAAATGTGCAGACAGACAATGACTTCTCAACAAAATCTTACATTAGAACATAATAATAAAAAAAAGAACATGTTTGAATGCACCCCGGAAGCAAATTTTGGCCCTTATTTTCCAGCATGATCTATATAGAGGAAAAAGGTAAATTTATCAGTCATCATATCATTAGTCACAAGTGCAAGAAAAACCCATTTATTTCTGAAACTGAAACTGAATGACTGCAGTATAAAATCAGAAATGGATTATGAAGATCACTCCTCGAGGAAAATTGCAGCTCCACCACCTGGCTTTGATACAAACAGACTTTGTTTTTCCATCGCTGCCCTGCGTGGATCAGGGAGGTAGTATTCTTCTCTAACAGCTTGTAAGAAAGACTCCACCTTTTTACTGGGAACCATGGAAACGGCACAGCCTCCCCACCCTGCTCCTGTCAGGCGGGAACCCACAGCCCCTGACTTCCTGCAACCACGAGAAAAAACAAAAAGACAACATATTTCAGTATAGTGCTAAGTATGACACTTTAATACTATTATTCCTCTAGGAAAGATGTGAGGAAGGAGTTGCACGTACATCTACAGTCATGCTAGTGGTGTGAGGTTCTACTTACTGTAAGCACTCAGCAAAGAGCTAATGCTAACACGAGTAGAAATCATACAGCCCTTGAATGACTAAGTCCATCCTTACTGCTTCCAAAGGAACTGAGAGGGCAAGTAGCAGCCTGGTTCTGCTATTCTGATGCACTTGATTAATTGATTGTCTTTTATAATTAGAACTGGGACACATGAGAGACTGTATGCAAACTAGATTATACTTATAGTTATTATATTATAGTTTGCATTGTGGATTTTTATTAATTGAGATCTTTTTTTTTGGTAAATGAACCTAAATACCTCTAAACATTCATTGGATAACATCCAGGTTTCTCTCCCAGGCTGTGCAGTAGTGGGTTAGTTTGCAGTACTCACAGGCAGATATCAACTAATTGGTCCAGTTCAGGGCAGCTGCACTCGTAGAGGTCTCTGCAGCTTGCGTGGCTCTGGTTCATCAGCTCTCCCAGTAGCCGCGTGGCATCGGCGGGTTCAGAGTCACACACGCTCTTAAACTGTAGGACTCGTGCAGCTTCCCCGTACACATGTTTGGCTCGTTGGTGAAGCTTGAACTGCGTCACTGAGAGAAATAACAGGAAAAGTGTTCCAGCGAAAACCTTAATCTTAAACCTGTTTTCATGAAACTGGAAATGAAAAAAAAATCTAATGTGATGGAATAACCAAATACTTGACTATCAGCAGAAAATAATATATTAAGAGTTGCTTAGTATTTACAAGAAAAATGTTCTGAAAGAAAGAAATGTAGCTCATTTCACTCGGGTAGAAGAATTTGGTTGGCTGGAAATTTAGTTCACCTAAATAAAGGTTTTACTTACTGTCCTGAGTATTAGCGCTGAGCAGCTCTGTTGAAAACTGCTCCGAGGTGATGCCCAGCACCTTGCATATCTCCTCTCGGCTGTAAGGCTCAGGATGCAGCACCTCGGCCACCAGAGCCAGCATCTCCTCCAGGGAGGCCTTCAGCTCCATCTGAACATGAGCCAGCTTCAACAGCCTGCTCGAGTCCACACCCCGCGCCTGGGCCAGCATCTGAGTACACGTGATGTTAACTTTGAATATTACAAACTTATCACACATGTTTAAAGTTTAAAGCGAAGCGTGAGGCTGTTCATCGCTGTGTTCTTGGGTTAAATGTTGTGCTCCGTTGCCTTTGAAAGAGCACATGAGTCAAACTAAATTCAATATTAAATTGAACCTCGGGAAACAAAACAACATATATAACAGATATTTCAGGAATGCATCATGGCAACAAATAGCACCTTCGTGGCAATCCGACACTCCACCACACGGATGTTGTAGTGAGAAGAAGCAGCTTTGTTCATCTCCACGCAGCAGTTGGAAATCACAAACACGGCACCATCAGGGAGTTTGACATCGGTAGCATGCAGGGGCTGGAACTCGATCAGCTTTGCCTGGCAGACAATTCAAAAAGTTTAGCCAGCAATACTGAAGTTATAATTTGTTTATTTAGTGTATTTTAGATGTGCCATATTCGTTAAACACAGGTCAATGGCGGTCGGGCTACATACAGTCCCTGCCTCTGCCAGGAATGAAATTGACTGGTCCATGCCTCCTCCCTCTGTGCCAATGTATCGCTCGCTTTTGGCACAAATCTCCGCAAGAGCCACCTGGTGAAATACAAAGTTTTCCTTGTTTAAGCAACAAATCCAGGAGAATGTCTAACTCATGAGGATTCACATTATAACAAATTAAAAGACAATATGGATTAGGAGTCATATTCTTTGTGATTAATTGTTCATTACCTGTTGAAAGCATCATTTTTGACTATTAACAAAAGAAATTAATACATGTTTTTGGTTTGGTTACAAAGAAGCTTCACCTTGGAGAGGGACTTTTGGTTTGCCTCCATTGTTACGAGGCCAGAACAACAAACTAAGGCACTAGAACTGGACAGGCCGGAGCTCGGAGGGATCGTTCCATCTACGACACAGGACATCCCCGCTAAATGGTTTAGCCCAAACTTCTCCTGAAAGAAAAAAAAAATCTAAATGTATCATGTTACGACTTATGACGCATTTAGTACATGTTATAGTATTCATTTTTTGCCATTCCATAATTTAAGAGTATAGAACTCATCACAAAGCTTACCTGAATACCTTTAACCCCACAGAGAAAATAATAATACCACTGTGGATCGTCTCTATCTATGGCAATTTCCTCTGAACACGACACACTGAAATCCCTGTATAATGACAAACAACAAGCTTTCTGAGAACACACACTCATAATGTACAGCTACCATTGAATAAATTACACAGGCCAAAAACAAACAAACAAAAAATATATATTTGGGGCCGTTACTATAAGTGTTCACATCTCACTTGTATTTAGGATTTGCGTTGGCCAGCTGGATCTTCCCTGAATCGTTCACTGACACAGCTGTGAGGATATTCTGCTCGATGGCCATTGGAAGCACAGAATAGCCACAGTAATCAATATGTTCACCTGTTAATGTGACAAATATGAAAAGATGTATGTGACAGACCGTGTTTGACTGGTACCACTAAAAAAAATTCCTGGATAAAAGTTGCAAACAAAATCATAATATTACCACAAATGTTTTACTTTGAAACAAGGTCAAAATATTAAGAACACCCACTGGCAGAACTACTATTATCTCCAGAGGATATATGGGTATACACTGTATTTATTCAACAGATACAAAATAGATGGAGCATATACAATAATGCAATCAGTATACAACACATGCCACATAAAGTATGAAATTACCTATTAGGTTTACCCTTCCAGGTGCAAATGCATAGAAGAGAGGAGATTCCCCATACTTTGACTCAAAGGTTTCTTTTAAGTTTTTCATCCTGCAAAATGACAAGAAAAGCAATTAAGTATCATAATATCATACTCTGAGAATCACTGCGTAACCTCGTTGCTTCTCACCTCTCGTTAGCAGTTATCTTTGTCTTTAACTTGGGCGGGTTTGTGGCCATTTCTACCCGTTTTAAAGTAATTGTGAGTCCACTTGTTGTCAGACAGGAGAGCTCAGAGCTTTCACATATCCGGGTTTAGATCAGCTGACTGTCACAAGAGGCTCCCGGATACCAAAATGCTGAACTCTGGTCGGAGCTCAGCTGAGTTTAGCGTCTGTCTACAAAGGAAGAGCTGACTCTGAAGCAGCTGAGGCAGCAGAGGCAAAATGCGGAAGTTAATAGACGGAAAGGAGGCGGGTCTTATGAGTCGACGTCCACAAATCTGAACGGAGTAACTCCATATACTGATGAGAACGGTCATTCATAAATTTGATGCACAAAGTTTCTTTTTTTTTTTTTTTTTACAGTAGCCTACTTTAAATTAATTAGCTTTAATGTTAACGTCAATGAACTTCAGTAAAAAAAAATAAACAAAAACAAAAAAGGTAATTAAAATAACAGAAATGTAATGCCATATTTTTGTGATCAAATTCCCAGGTTCGACTAACCTGATTATAATATCTATTTAGTAACCCTGTTCACGGTTATCTTGAAATTAGCTGCTATGTCACTGTTTAACCACACGATGGGAACATCAGATTGCTTTTTAAAAATGCCAGCGATGACGAAGTTTTCATAAAAGTGTGGCTTTGTTTGCACTTAAAAATTAATACATGTTGACCATGAATAAAAAAGGAGGAAAGAAAAACAAAAAATAACATAAAAGAGCAACAACAAACATAACATTTTATATATAATTTCCAAATATTCTCGATAACTACATTACCCATAATTCTAACGACTTTGTTACCATGGACACGGGGTTAACTAGCTCCGGGGTTCTCAGCAAGAAAAGAAATCTTGTAAATAGCTTCACCTGGTATGTTTTGTTACGCCAAAAAGCATTTAAATTAATATTTTCGTGTCGGTGAATTAGCGTCAGTTGTGGTGATAATGAGTAAGTCTGTGTGCAATCAGATTCTTAAATCTGCTCTGTCTCAAAGAGTCTCAGTGGTTTGGCGCTGCTAACGCGCGCGAGTTTTCAAAGTGGGCGAGTCTAACAAGGTACGGCCAGCAGGAGTTAGCTTTGTTCGCTACAAAGTTAGCTTCCATCTTAAATGTTCGTAAACTGGCCTATAATTTGGCATTAAACCTGCGTGTCTTATTAAACGTGTTGGGCATATGTTTCCAGAGCTCGGCTGGATCGTTTGTTTGGCATGTCCAGGTTTACCGCTGGCTAAAAAGCCTCACTGTTTTGTAATAAACAGTGCAGCATGGCTAACAGTTAAAGCTAATACTCAATAAAGGGTTACGCAGTTCAGCAAAGGAGACATCTGGCGTCTTTTAACTAACGGGTAAGCTTTGATATATATTTCTAGCTGATATCAATGCGTAATTTTAGTTAACTTGAGTTTTTAACTGCTGTCAAAGATAAATTAAGTTTTGTTGTTCCTGTTTTCCTAGGATCCCCTAAACGACCAGGAGGGTGTGCATGATGTCTATTGATTTTGACAGTGCTGCTCTTCAAACCCAACACGATGAAGAGGAATACGACCAAGAGGACTACGCCAGAGAGCAAGAGGTGCAACACTCAGATCTACAGCTTTTCAGAATTATTCAGATAACATCTGTCTGATAGTTGTGCATCCAGTTGTTGGACTGAGTTCACATTCGGCATGCACCCTGAATTTCTTAGGATATTTACAATAACAATTTGATGGATATTATTTATTTACTTTGTTATTTAGTGCCCATTTAGCTAACTGAGAAAGCATATTGTGAAAACACGATTTGTCTTTCGGCTCTTCATCTAATTGTCTTTAAACATATTTAGCCAGCTGACTCTGCTTGTTTCATCGCGTATTGGCTACAGCCATCATAGTTGCTGATATCAGTCAACACAGTAGAAAGCCTGTGCATGTTATTCAACATGCAAGAACACAACATCATGTCCAGCTAATGCTAAAATTACAAAATGATAAGAAGCCATTATTTATCTCAGCTTACTTTACATTTACTATCACTGTGTACAGTGATTGTATGTTTACCAAATTGGACTACTACTGTTAATCTTACATTTCTCTTTGTGAGTTTGTAGTGCTGTCTGGGGAATCATTGACAAGTGCATTGTTTGAATTTCACAAGCACTGCCTGCTTCAGTTACTCACTGTTATTACTCACAACTACAATCTGTTGTGCTGTGAGCTTGAGCTATTATTGGCTCAAGGAAAAGGCCTCCTTCCAGGTGTGTCACACTGAAACCAGCTCAGCCCTTTGGCTTCCCCACTTTCTATTTGGGTTACTTGGCTTCAGGAGAGAGAGTGAAGAAGCATTTGCTGATCTTATAGAGCTCAGCATAATGGGCTTTAAATAGTATTAATTAAATAGATTTTCATTTCATTTATTTTTATTTTTTCTTTTTTTTCTTTTTTTAGGCTATAACCTACTTATAATACACTAGCTCGTTATGGATAATGTCTGCCAGCAGTAACTGGAATGTTTCTGCTCCAGTTAACTTCGCTATATGTTTTGTCTAAACAATGGAGGTCTTTGGGAGGCAAACAAGACAATACCACAGGGAGCCGACAACATGCCAGGCACATTTTGGATGTTTTACACAGAAGGCCTTCTCTACAGGCAGATTAGGCTGGGGGTTATCTCGTGGTTTCACAGCTAAAGTAGAAATGCCTTTTCAAATTTTGTTGACTGTGTAAGTGGGATAATATGGGTCCTTTGGTTGTGGACACAGTGGAGGATCTGAGGAGTATTCAGCGGTCCTTATGGGAAGTAAGTCCAGCTGGCTCTGCTTGTTTCAACACACATGGCTGTTTGTTATGTAACTTTGGTTAGTCTGTTACTGAAGAGTTTGGGTTTTTTGTGTCATTTTATTTGTAAGAGTCAAAATATTAAACAAGGGTACATTTGAAAAGCCTTAATGAGAATCAGTTTTATTTCAAAGTAAATTTACACATATGGGTTCTAAACCAGTGATTAACATAGGAGTAAATTCACCCATTTAGGTCACAAAATACAAATACTGCCATATGAGCACAATGTGCAAATATTTAAATAGTAGACGTTTTTTGCCATATAAAGATTGGGCTACACTGTGCAGTGCAAAATACAGTCAGAGAGTGCAAATACTTCCATGATTAATCATTTAATCAAAGTTTATCCTTAAATCTCACATGCAAACAGAAAAAGCTTCTGAAAGTGTTTTAAGGTATAGCCTGAGTCATTTTGATTTAGTAAATCTGCACAGCATAATGTAATGATATTTAATATAACAAGTATTTCTCAAAACTGCAGCTAAATAATAAAAACACACTGCATAAGACTTACAGCCTTTTAAGCTGTCAGTGATTGCTTAGCTCTGGTGTTTTTTCCTCTATGTTACTTTATAACTCAGTTGCGAAGCAACCATGGTGACTCATTTCCATGTGCTATTTTCTCTCTTTCTTTTTTTTTTCTTTTTTTTTCCTTTCTCGCAGCTGCACAAGCTGCTCACAGACCTGCCTGATGACATGCTTGAGGACAGCATTGACTCTTCCTCCCCAGAGCTGGATTACACTGCCTGCAGTAATAAAAACACTGGCAACAGGTAACACATGTTGCTGCTGATGACACTATTGGTAATGTCACATTTCGAGAACTCTGGGTGTGGTTCAAGACAAGCAGATTTGTTGTCACTGCAACATTAGTTATCATTTGTTGTGCTTTCTCTACTTAGCCCACAGTCCAGCTGGACTCGGCAATGGTCTGATCATCCAAGGCCAGCCCCTCATACACAGGTAGACTGTTAGTTTATGTTCAGTAGTAGATTTAGGGGCCTAGAATATTTTTGCCATTTAAAAAAAAATACAACTCATAAATGGTGCATACAAAAAAAGTTCAAAAGGGAAAGAATCACTCTCTGTTATTGTCTCTCTAAAGAACTATGAAGATCACTATGATGAAGGGTTGAACAATGAGTATGCATATAAGGACGGAGCTGCTCGTATTAATGGACATCGGAGTCCCCCTCAAAGTCAACCACTGCCTCACACCTGGAACCAGGATCATCAGTTCACACAAGCAGATTATACATGCACAAGCATGGGCACAGACAAAATGACAGAGACCAGTGATTTTTCCACCGAGTTTGAGTCTAAACCATACCCTCAGGGTGCCAGTAATCATGTGGAATATAATGGAGAAAGAGGATGCATAGACAAGCAAAACCACCAATTTCAAGTGAGTGGACCATTTAATTTCAAAAGCATCCAGAAGGTCGTAGCTGTTATTGTGCTGTTCTTTCCTTTAAAGTTTTAGGTCTTAATGCCTCCAAATCATTTGAATAAATAGTAACATGAAAGGGTTTCTAGTATTGTTTTTAAAAAAGCAGCATTTTATTCCAAAAGAATCATACATTACTTGTGTGTATGAAGTTTCCTCAAATGTCATTTTAAATTAACATCTTGTTATCTGGCAATTTGTAGTTTGTGCATTTTTATTTTTTTTATGTTTGTATGTTTTGTTTGTGTATTTTGTGTTTTTTTTTAAATACAGCAACATTTTCACTACTTTCATACTATGTTTCTATGTTTAAAGTCTGAAGTATGTGACAGAGGTGCAAATCAGTACAAGGTGAGCTACAATCCTCATCATCCTGCCCATCAGCCAAACATGTTTAAGCCACAGGCTGCTCCACAAGGTCAGTTTGACCATCTGCAGAGAGATTTCCTTGACTCGACACAACGTAAGTCTTACTTTCATTGACTAAATAATATAACTGAGTACACTGACATGTAAATATAAACTATTTGATGAGATGTGTGCCTGTTTCAGGACTGCAGGTGGAGATTGTCAAGTAGCTTAATCTGTTACAAGGCATTTTTTTTCTTCTAGTTGTATGCATAGTCTAGCTGTACTGCAGAAAGGTGTAATTTGTATCGCCAGTGGTTTTAAAAAAAAACATAAAACGACATTGCTTAAATCGAAAATGTCTTCACAATTAAAAATGACTAAAATTAAACACTAAATGATCTTTGTTTCAGAAAATGCTGACCAGGAGCAGCTTGCCCAGCTGCAGATTTTGAACAAAGCTCAACAGAGGCAAATTGAAGACTTGGAGCGAAAACTTGAGGATTCACGGCGTAACATGAGATACCTCGAGCATCAGTTTGTAATCGTCAAAGGTATGTTCAACTTTAAATGAGGGACATCTCACTTTGTTGCAGTACTTGAACAGTGATGTGATTTTGGAGATTTCTTTAATACTTTCAGGAAGAACATTTAATGTTGGTACTTAATTTTTTTTACAAGCATAATAATAATAATAATAATAATAATAATAATAATCCACTCAAAACCTTGGGCACTTGGGACTTGAGAGGGATTGTCAGTTTATATAACTGAGATTAGTAGAAGGAAATGTAAGTTTTTCTTTAGTTGGTTAAAACGTCTGCCCCCTTGTGGCTGTTAGTGATGTAGCACTTCTTGCCAGATGTACTGATGGTCCTTTTAAAAAATATTGTCCATAGATGAAAAGGACGGCCTAGCAGTAAGTTTAAGGGAAGCGAGTCGATTGATTGAAGAAGCCAAGGAAAGAGAGGTCCAAATGCAAAACAAGCTGAAGGCAATGGAGCAGCAAATACAGATCCTCACTGAGAGAGACCACGAGGTGCGTTCTGTGCTGACAAACACTGTTTTCATTCTATTTTCTTAGTTATTTAATGCTAAATTTAAGACAGTAATAATATTTAAGTATAACTATTAAAGAAACATGCTTTACAGATTTAAGAATTTAATATGAAATTTTGCATACAAATGTGTCTAAACTAGCTCTGCTTACTGAAACATGATGCATGACTGAAACCTTTGTATGAGAATGCTTCTTTTTAGTGTATACAGCAAAGGTTTTCTTTTGTTTGCAGAACATGAAGAAACAGAGGGTGGCA